CCACTCACCTGTGGGTCTGTCCTCACCTGCCTGTGTCTCTGTGTCTGCAGCAAGCTGAAGGAGTCCGAGGAGAAGAAACTGGAGGCGCTGGAGCAGTTGGAGAGTCTGAAGAAGGAGATGGAGGAGAGCCGCTCCCGCTCCGACAAAGGTGAGGCGACCCGACGACTCGGATCAAAACCAGAACAAGTCCTTCTTTAACGTGTTGTCTCTGCAGGTCTGAAGCTCCCAGACTTCCAGGACCCCCTGTTTACTTACTTCAACACGTCTCCTCTGGCTTCAGACCTCACCTTCAGAGTGAGTTCCCTCCCTGCCCCGCCCCTCACAAACACTCTGACCAATCACATTCAGGATCACAAACACAGCGGGTCTGTCGTGGATTTTCAAATTATTATTGCTTGTTTCTCTTTTTACCATGGAGGCGTCACTTTGCTCCGCCTCCTCTCTGCTCGCCCTGTGGGACGAAGTAAGTTTACCCGCCAGGCTACCCAGTGTCCCCCCACCTGACTTCACTGTCGTCACTCCACCCACAATCCTCTAGTGTCCTGTCAGATCTAACCTTGATTATAGACGTTAGATGGAAGATCTCAACAAATGACCACACCCATATCACCTGGCCCCACCCACATGAAGGCTCTTCCTCTTTCTGTTCTAGTATTTTAACTACTAAATAAAAAAACTATAGTTTAATCCCTGTAGAAACATTAAATGAGAAAACACCGGAGTTAGAGTCCTGATTGGTTAATTGGAGTTTAGGTTTTATTAATGAAAATACTTTAATTCTTTCTTTTTTCCAGCCTGGAGATTTTGAAACCGCCTCTGTGAAATCAGGGACCACACCCTCCTCACCTTCCTTTACCTTTGAGAACGAGGTCAGTCCCGTTTGAAAACATGTTTCCAGACGTGTTTGTTTTATGGCACTCACCTGGTTTTGTTTGTGTGGACAGGAAGGTAAAACGTCAGTCCCTCCCAGCCCCTCCCCCACCTTACAGAGCTCTGCACTGACCACACTAAAGGTAAACTGTGTCCTCGGGTGTTTCACTGTGAGGGAATCAAAGTCCTGTAATAATGTTTGCATCAGAAAAAAAAGTATTAAAACCCAACTTACAGCAGTGGTGGGTTTTGTTGTTTCTGTGTCAGCAGTTGTTAAAGTTTTATATTAAACTCAGTGGTTTTTATTTGAATTTATTTCAGCCCAAAGCCCACCAGCTGAGCATCAAGACCTTCTCCAGTCCACTTTTCTGCTCTCACTGCTCCTCCCTGATGGTGGGCCTCTGCCGACAGGGATATGGCTGTGAAGGTACCCACCCTCTCATAATGTCTGCAGACACCTGCTGCTGTCAGCGCTCAGATACTTTGTAGCAGCTTGGTGCTTTAAGTCAGAGTTTCTTAACCTATGGATCGCGGCCTAAAGGGCTCGACACACGGGAGGCGATGTCGCTCGCTCTCCATTCATTTCCTATGGARSYTGTGCGGTGAGGCGACAATCGCTYGCCCTCCTCCAGCTAAGCGACCGGCGAAAATAGTGCATGTGAAATTTCGCGCTCGTACACGTAGACGTGCACACGCGAGCTTGYGACGCGACATATAWAAGTTGAAAAATGTTCAACTTTTGTCGCTGTCGCTTAGCGTACAACCAATCAGCGAGGGTTTCCTCGACTGACCAATGAGAGGAGAGTATGCTACACACTGCAGTTAGCTAACACTTTCACCAAGTGATTACTAAAAAGCTTTGTGGGAATTTATTGGCACCAGGGTGAAGTTTATGGTAAGTTTTTCCTCATAAAACTGTATCTTGATGTGTGTTTGTTTTTCAATATCACGTCCTACACGTCCGTAATGCACACCTGCCTTCAGAGTAAAGAACCAATCAAATTTTGTGAAAACAAGCGATCTGAGAGCGTGATTCACAAC